GCTATACAATAAACTTGAATCGAATATTTATTGCTTTTCTCTTCAGTACTGTCATTCCCAGTGTAACTGTTATAATGTGTTCAGAGGACGTTCTGTAGACTTTTAATATCTGCATCAGTCCTTTTACATTTATACAATTCACACTGAAAAAAATTCTATAAGAAAGAAGCTGTGTTTGTCTTTCTATGAATTTACAAAAAATATGCATAAGTGGGTTCAGGCGATTCAATCTGAAGGAGGTCATTCATTATTATTGATGGAGAAATGAAGCTTTTCAAATCTTAAAATCAAATGAACCAATTGCTTGTTAATGCCATAATGCTTTGAAAATTACTTCCATGTATTTTAATTTAAAGCACTCAACAATATTCTGAAATACACACATCTAAGCTTATTTCCTTTTCTTTTACTGGGCACTTGACTGTCAATTTGACACATTTGGCCTGTTCGTCTAATCTTTTTCCTTTCATGTCTTCAGCTGTTGTTCTAATTAGGTAATCAATATTGAATTAAGTACTATATAATGAACAAGAACTGCTATCTAATAAGTAATAGTACCTTAAAGGCACTAGCAGCTGAAGAATAAGAACTAGCCTGAAAAAGTAATGGAATATAGGCCTACTAGTAATTATGTAGTTCACTAGTAGCATGAAAATATATACTAGTTCATTTTAAGGATTAAATGTTAAATCAGCTTGCCATAAACACACTGCAGGTCTTTTCTCTTTTCTGTTTCACTTTCAGTTGATGCCCTAGTTTGCCTAGTTAGGGAGTGGCAGTACTGACCCGACACAGCTCCTTCTTTGAAAACCCCTTGAGTGAGATAATAATCAATAAAATGGGCTATAAAGAAACATCTTTATCAGTCATGATTCTGAAAGAATATCCTCCAGTTTCACATCACTTAGTCTAATGGTGCAGTAATGCAGTTTATCTTGCCGTTTCACCACAATCACTAACGCTCTAAAAGCATAAAATTGACTAGGCTATAGGCTATATTGAGCTTCATCATTAGAAGTAATTACATTTAGTCATTTAGCAGACGCTTTTATCCAAAGCAACTTACAAATGAGGACAATAGAAGCAATCTAAACTAACAAAAGAGCAACAATATGTAAATGCAAATGACAAGTCTCGGTTATTGTCATGTAATGTTTACTTTGATTGCCATGGGCCACAAAAGGCGTTTTCTCCGACATGCTGTGCCTGACAATAGAACTATAAAATACGCCAAAAAAACAACATAATTACGAAATGAAACAATTTTATTTGTGCGCTGTAATCCAAATCTTCAGAATCCATACGACTGCAAGGAACAGAGCCAAATCCAAGCCTTTATTCGGCGATCTTCATCTCCATCCTCAGCAGTGACCACTGTAGCCTACTTCTTTCAATGGAAAGTAGCTAAAGCCCGCTTGAAAAGTCGATAGATGGCATCATACGCTAATTAGCATATTAAATAAATAAATGATTGTAATTGCATTTATCTGTCTGTCATGTTTTTCTTATACTGTACAGAAATGTTTAGGCTTATAAGTAGGAGTGGAATTAGCAACTAATTTTTCTTTAATGGTACATTGTTACTAAAATTGTTATTTTCCTGCATATTTCGGTCATTGAAAAAAATGCATTGATACGAATATCTTAATGATATAAAAGATACATAAATATTTTAAAGTTTTTTTAGCTAAAAATACGTAGCGATTTGTACGTTTTAAACGTTGAAATGTGTCTAAATTGTACGTTTTAGCATTAAAAAAAAAGTATGGGTCACCATACTTGGCCACATGTCACGTCACTTTCACTCACTTTCACAATTCCTGGAAGCTGAAAACATCCCAGTTCTTGCAGTCTGACAACATATTCTGACTTCTGAGCGACAAAATTGTTTTGTTTTTTTGTATCCAACTAGAATCCAACAACAGAGCCGCAGCACAGATGAATGGAAAAAAAGCAGGCCTTGCTGTATCCCACTTCACCTACATACTGTATACTACACCCTAAAAACTATGTACTCTTTTTGTGAAGAAAATATACATACTTTTGAGTGTGTAGCAGAAGAGTAGGCAAGCTTTGGGACATAGCCTACTACTTCATCATAACTGCATCTTTAACAGACCACTCTTTCGCTTAGTTACATGCATCCCGTCCCATAAACTGCCCTGTCAATCATCTTGTCAAAACTAACATCCTCCACATTACACTTCATTTAATTTCCTACAGTATCGGATAGAAATGAAAGAGCACATTGATCTGCCAGTCGTGTCTTTCATGCCGAGAACTCCTCATGTGTTTGCATTATGATGCATTTAAAAGTTAATGACCAAACGTATCTTTATGAAAGTTCACAATAAATATTTGTCATCAAGTTAGATATTGATTAGGGTTAGGGTTATCCAAACCTCTCTATTGCACATCCACCATGTTTGTAGTTTACACTTTTTATTTGTGTTTGTAATTCTGAATGAATCCTCCTCCAAAGCACACAAAAAAAAAACATTTAACAAACCCAGCATGGTGATAGAATGTGTGTGGACATTTAATTTGTTTTAGTGCAACAGAATATTAATTAAAATCAACTCTACAATAGTAGATTAATCAGTGCAATAAAGATCCAATCCTAAACTCTTCTTTTTATTTAAATCCAAATACTGAGGGGTTGTTTACACGACACTGTTTTCAACTAAAAACAGAAAACTTTTTAATGCGTTTTGGCCGTTCGTTTACGGGTTTCAAAGTGCAGGTATTTGAAAATGATACCATTATTGTCTCCATGTAAACTACAAGAAAAAGAACCAGAGTTGAAAACCACTGTTTTAAAGCTTTTTATCCTGTATAAATTTTCTCAACACACTGTTCACACTGAGTTCTCTAAACAATACTTGAATTATTTAATCAATTCATTAAGTTACTAAAGGTTATTGCTCACTTTACCTGAAACCCTTCAGCCCACTTTATCCAGCACATTCAGCCAAAGCAAGCCAGCAATGTCTAACCACATTTTTAAACATTTTATAACTTGCATTTCAATCCATGTTAACTGCTTAAAACAGGCATTGTCACAACAAAAGTACACAATAATAATAGACATAATATTTTATGGATGGCTATGTCATTTTTTCACATTTTGACTGTTATTTATAGCTCACATTTTAAACAAATTATCATGTAAAGAGCTGAAAAACTACCAAAATTAAAAGATTTAGGAATAAAATACAGATAAAATAATTAAATATGCATATACATAAACAAGTCTATCTAAAATCACCCAAACAAGGTTTAAAACATACAATAAATAAAATCTAAACGTTTATTTTAAGGCTATTGGGAATCCCACAACTGACAAAATGTGACTACACTCTTAAAAATAAAGGTGCTTCAAAAGGTTCTTCAAGCGATGCCATAGAAGAACCATTTTTGGTTCCACAAAGAACCATTCAGTCAAAGGTTCTTTAAAGAACCATCTCTTTCTTGCCTTTTTATAATCTGAAGAACCTTCTTTTGCCACAAAGAACCTTTTGTGAAACAGAAAGGTTCTTCAGATGTTGAAGGTTCTTTATGGAACCATTTAGACAAAAAGGTTCTTCTATGGCATCGTGAAGCACCTTTATTTTTAAGAGTGTAGGTGGGGCAGGGGTGGGGTTTGAGTCGGTTTTTGGTCTATAAATGTTTCTGGGATCTGGCAACCCTGAAACTGCTTGACAGAAGCTGCACTTTTGAAGGTCAGAAACAGCTCTCTCAACCCTCCACCAAACACCTATTGAGATTTCTAGATTTGTGACATCCAGAAATGTCTGAAAACCGAGAATTAAGCCATCATGGACATGACGAAAATGGTAAGGGCATTTTAATAGTTGGTCTATATTTACTAACATTAAAAAAACAATACATTTTAGTTCTATTTGTTGATTTGAGTATTTTATTTGTGTATTTATTTACTTCTAAAACATTTAATTTTCTAACTGATAGGTTTTATGAGTATAAATTGCTTGTGAATATTCCCAAACACTCTAAATGTCTTTATTAAACTAAAAATGTATGGAAAAGACACATCTTAAACTAACAGGTACTTGCTCATATTTATTTTCATTTATATACAACAGAATTTAAATTACATTCACTTTGTTAACAGCAAAGCACATGAGTGTCAATCATGATATGCATCTTTGAAAAGTAAGAACTGTCCATCTTGTTTATTTTTGTGTCTTTTTTTATGCAATCAAACATACTGCGTTTGAGAGCAAAACTAATTATTTTGTAATTAAAAAATAAAAGATGTCAAATACTTTAAAAAAGTCTTCTTGCTGTTTGAATAGTTACAAAAATAAAGTTATCGATAAAACTCTTTGCGGTGCGTGTAAATCTTTGATTTTCTTTATGCAGTTCTTTTTCATCACTTTTCATCTCGCATTTATTCTGTCATTGTTTGCAGGAAAAGTTTTGAATGCAAATGAAGCTGCATCTCAGTTAGTGGTATCTATGCACTAGAATGAAAGACCTGTTTCTATTGGTCACTCTTGCTTGGCGCGATAGTTAAACCACACTCACAATCCCAACAGTCAGGCAGAGAATAGCTCAAACTCCACGAAAAAATGTCTTCTGGACAACTCCAAGAGACACAGGCATAATCAATTGTGGAGATGCATAAGATGATTTTTGCCTTTTGAATAATCAGAGCCTCGTTGTGTAGAGGATTGTGTAGGCAAACAAATCCAAATTCAGAAATAACAGCTTGCAAGCTTGAGTAAAAATATTTCCACCTTCACGGTGTTCTAAAGTTCGATGTAAAATGGCAGCTATGACGATGTAAATTCATATTGTTATTTTTCTAAATGTCTGACTATATGCACTGCATTAAAACTAATTTATTAATTTGCTAATTTGATTCAAGTGACATTAAAAAGGCATTACACAAGCCACGGAAAGTCAAAAGGGATACTACAACAAAGCCAACTGTCCGCCTTGCATCAGCTAATGTGTCAATACGCAACACCATACATATGATTGACACGTTTGACAGACCAGCAGATGCCAATGCAGAAGGCACCTATGCTCGAAGCGGAACATATGCAGGAAAGAGGATTCCCAAGGCTGGATACATTGCAGAAGCAAGAGTTGGAAGAGCTCGTGCTGAAGCCAGTATATTTGAGGCTGAAGCCAAAGGCCCAAACGCCTCAGCTGGTGCAGAAGCCAGTGTGGTTGGAGTCCGAGCAATGGCTCGGGCTGAACTTGCCAGTGTATCAGCTAAAGCCGGTCCAGTTAGTGGAAAATTGGGACTCGGATTTGACACGGATCCATCTATTGGTCTGGATGGGTTGGAAGCCAAAATACTGGGAATTGGAATCTCAATTGGTCCAAAAACCAGTATATCTTTTCTGGGTTCAGAAGCATCATGTTCAGTCATGTAATCATGGGGGTATGTATTGCTAACGAACAGCAAAGACAAAAACAGAAACAGAAAAGAAAAAAAAACTTTTTTTTAAACATTATCGAATTTTAAAGAACTGTTGTTGAGTTATAAATACACAGAATTACATTTTAACAATATTACAACAGATAGTTATATTTTAGATTTTATAATTCTACACTTGTTGAGACTCTTGTTTTCATTTAAGAATAAATACAGGTATTTGTATTTGGTTATGCAGGTGTTTTTATTCGATTACGCCAACTCCGGTTTGGATCCAATCTTTGCGAAGACTTCAGATGACGCCAACTTTAGATCGACGTACAGAACTGTCAGATATTATCCTTATTCTGTAATCATTATGAGCACAAGTTGTAATTGTTGTCTAACATGCTTGTTGTATCTGCTAAACTGAATATATGATGTTACCTACATTATATGTATATTGCGCACATATTACTCTCATCTGTGGCTGATAACAGAATACTTACCAACTGTAACACTGAAACAAGAATTATCTGTAACGCTGCTTTGAAATGATGTATTGTGAAAAGTGCTATACAAATGAACTTAAATCTAATGTTTATTGCTTTTCTTGTCTCGTTATTGTCAGCTAAAATAAACTCTTCTGTTCAAGGCTTCGGTTTTAGTAAATAACAAATAACAAAAATAATAGTTTTCACAATACAAGCCACGGTTTATGTGTTCTTTGCTTTGTTACCACTTCAGTTTGTTCATTTTTTAAGTGACAACGGCCTCTATAGCAGACTTACGGCATTACGATAAAGGTAAGTGCATTTTAATAGTCAATATTTATAACATTTAAAAAAATACATTTTAGTGTTATTTGTTATTTATGTATTCTATTTGTGTGTGTGTGTGGGGGGGGGGGGGTTCTAATTGTTTCATTTTCTAACTGGGGAAAT